GGCTCAACTCGTGATTTCCAAGCCCAGGATTCCGGATTCCACAATCCACAATTCCACATCCAATTACGGATTCTAGATTTACTTACATGGGGAAAAAATAAGTTGATGTGATTTGGGAGTAATGAGATCATTAGTCATCACGGTTTACTCTGTTCCCCAAAAGTGCCACCACTCGGACTGTCAAGTGCTCAACAATTCAAGCATACACTTTTACTTTCCGGTTCAGAGAAGACGTGTCTTAGATACTCGGGGGCGGAGGGGGGGGGGGGGGGGGGGACCCCCCCTATGAGGGCCTAACGGGGGGTTAGAAAGGGGGGGGGTTTTCCTAATTGGAAGTATTAAAAAGGGTGGGGAATTTGTTACTTTTGGCGTGGGAAGGGGCCCAAAGGGGCTAAAAGAGAAGTTTTTTGTATTGGGACGGGAAAGTGCCGGTGTAAAAATTATTTTTGTTAGGTGATATGAATGATTTGCTTAAGAGGGTTTTTCCTGCGCCCCAAAAGCGCCACGCACAGGGTGTCTAATGTGAAAAAAAATAAAGCCTCTATGTTGTGTTTGGGGGGGGGAAAGTGGGGTGTGTGGGTTGGGGGGGGGGGGGGGGGGGGGGGGAGAGTACTCCCTATGATGGCCTATACGAGGTATATGAAAGGGTGGGGATTTCACTTGTTGAATTATATAAAGGGTAGAGAAAGCTGTCATTTTGGCCCGTGAAAGGGCCCAAAAGGGCTAACAGATGAATTTTATGTCATGTGAACGGAAGATGACTGGTTATAAACTTGTTCATTTAGATGAAATGTTTCGCTCTCTATTAATTTTTCTACTTAAAAAAGGGTTTTTCTTACTCTTCTCTTTATAGCTTATCAAACATCTGAAATATAGCAAATGAATCGAAATGGCCTGTTCACAGACCCTCTAATTTCTCTTAATAGACCTTCGAACACGCGTATGAAGAAAAGAAAAAGAAAAAAAACGTCATGAGGAAGTGAGTTTCGCCTTTGGAGAAGGTACGTGACAGGGCGACTGAACTGACCAAGGTACCAAATTGTAGCTTGGCAATTAAGTGAAAACTTAAAACGCTTCTATTCCGCTTTCACTGCTGACTGTTCCTGTTTTGATATATTTTTACTTATAATCAACAGAAATCCGTTCAGTGTCTGATTTCCCACTGATTGAGTGCTATGAATTGAATACCATGATAAAAGTCAGTTCATGGTTTAACAACTTACCAGAGTGCCTGATCGAGTTTAAGATGCCAAGAAAAATACAAAGAAACAGAATTTCAGTTAGACTCCGTACCAAAATTTTCTCTCACAGCTCGTTCGTAAATAGTACGCGTCCGCCTGACTTCTGAGAGAACTGTGCGAACGTGTTTGTACATCAGCTTCACGTGCGGGTCTGATGCGTTCAAGGGGCGTCTAGTTTCCACGGCGACAACTTTTCTTTTGCCATCTTGTTTACGTTTTAAAGTAAACAAGATGGATCTTTTTTAGAGCCCTGTTCGGCGTCTTCTCAGGTCTTCTCGGTCAATACATTTCGTACCCTGCGAGCAGAGGCCCTTCGATCTTCCTAGATTAGGAAGATCGAAGGGCCTCTGCTCGCAGGGTATACATTTCGGGGACGTATCAGAGACGAAAAGTCGCTCGGATCACGTGACGCGAAACGCATCAGCCGCGCAATAATGAGGCCTATTGACTAGGCTAGAAGTATACACAAGAAATGTTTTCGCGAAAATGTTATAAAGCCTGTTAATGAGTATCTCAGCTGGTATCTAGAATGAACTCAAAGCAACGCAAATGCATTCGAAACGGCGCCATGAAATGGTCGTCTTTTCGGTCAAGGGCAAGCCTTTTTCGAAGGGATTTTTCATAATTTTCTCAATAAACTTCGAAACCTTTGTGAGCGTCAGGCCAAACCAACACGAAATCGAAGCGAATTCTGACAGAAAACTCGATCCCAAAATCGAAGATTAATAGACTGACCAGTCTTCATCTTGAAGCCAAGCCTTTTTCTAGCTATAGAAATTTCTGTGCAATTCTATTTTGCCGGTGTTTTGACTCAGGATGACCATATGCTGCCTGTTTTGGGAATGTCTTTTTCAATCTCGTTCCCAGAGTCCGCGTCGCTTTGTCAACCTGAACGGGCAACGCTGACCAAAAGGATCGCGGCCTCTGGGAACGAGATTGTGTCTTTTTGTACTTTTTTGCTTAGTCATCAGCACTAGCGTACGCACTATTTTTACCGACTATAAAATGACCCAACAACTGACATGTCCAGTGTACCAAATTAACGTACTAGCGAATATAGCGCTGATAACTATTGTTCTTACGTACTAGCGCATTATTTTTACCGACTATAAAATGACCCAACAACTGGGATGACCAGCGTACCAACGTACTAGCGAATATAGCGCTAATAACTAGTGTTCTTACGTACTAGCACACTATTTTTACCGACTATAAAATGACCCAACAACTGGGATGACCAGCGTACCAACGTACTAGCGAATATAGCGCTGATAACTAGTGTTCTTACGTACTAGCGCACTATTTTTACCGACTATAAAATGACCCAACAACTGGGATGACCAGCGTACCAACGTATTAG